TGCTTCACTGGCCCAAGTTGGCACCATCATTGCGCTCTTCCTGGGTGAGGCAGATCAGTCGCCGGCTTCTGGATGGCGGCTCACGGCGGCTGCTGGCCGCTCACGCTGGCTGCTGGCTACACACGGTAGCCCAGCCCATGGCAACCCACTGCAGCAGGGGCTGAAGTCTACGTCGCCCTAGCCAGTGACTCTCGGCAGCCCAGCTCCAGGTTGAGCCGTTGTTCAGCATCTTAGCTGTAGAGGGCAGTGTCACTGGCCCTCACATGTGGGATCCGAACCAGGGTCCTCTGGCGTCCCAAGCCAGCTCTTAACCAACGTGCCACTCGGCCGGCCCAAATATGTGTTATTTCTTAATAGTGAGATCATCCTATTCAAGGAAAGTTGGGGGGAAAAAGTGTTAGTGGAACACAACTTCTTTGCTCTTTGCTGCCTGGTAAAATAAAAACTCTCTAAATATTAAAACGAAATGAGTCTCCATCACTCATGACTTTTACTATGATTCATACCTATCGGAACCCCAGACAATATGGAAAGAGATGGAGACAGGCATTTGGAGCTCTAAAGACACAGATCTGAGCTGTTAATGGGCTCTCAGAGGTGTGCCAGAGAGAGGCAGTGGCATCCTGTGCCTGTTGGGGTGGGTCCATGTGGTCCCTGGGACAGACTCGAGCCTGCTGTCTGGCTTTGCTGCTGCTGAAAGACAGCGTGGGATTTTGGAATCCTGAATCCAGAGCCTCACTGCCTGCAGCAGCTCTGGACTAGAACTGATAGTGGCAGTGTCGCACGGGCTGCTTGGGCCTCGGCCTCGGCCACGCTGACCCCCGACAGCGGGTACAGGCACAATGGCAAGGACCTTGCCTCGGGAGACAGTACAGATCTAAGACACCTGTCTGAGGGACCCAAACTGAAAACATCATGGATGCTGGCTGGATCATCTGGGTCACTTACAAATGCCCACAGGGAAGGGCTTGTTCTCAGAGGGGACTGCCTGAAACCTGGCTGTTGATCAGCTTTGTATTTTTGATGCAGACCAATTGCGTTCCTAAGCTGCTCCCCAAGGCTGACAGATCTGATGTCCCAACTGTCTGATAGCTGCTACTCCCCTCACCCTTCTGATAGACACACCATAGTAAGGCAGTTTCAGCCTTAATAAGAAAGGACATTCTGACACCTCTAATAACATGGACAAACCTGAAGGACATTATGCTGAGTGAAATAAGCCGGACACAGAGGGACAAATACAGTATGATTTCACTCACAGGAGGTCCCCAGAGGAGTCAGATTTATAGAGACAGAGAGTAGATGGTGAGGGCCAGGGGCTGGGGGAGAGGAGGGGAGTGCATGATTAATGGGGACAGAGTGTCTTGGGAAGATGAAAAATTCTGGAGATAATGGTGGGGAAAGCTGTACAACTATAGGAATGTACTTAATGCCACTGAATTGTACACTTAAAAATGGTTGAGATGATGAATTTTGTTACGTGTATTTTACCACACTTAAAAAATATCTTTTAAGGGCCGGCCGAGTGGCGCGATGGTTAAGAGCTGGCTTGGGACGCCAGAGGGCCCCGGTTCAGATCCCACATCTGAGGGCCAGTGACACTGCCCTCCACAGCTAAGATGCTGAACAACAGCTCAACCTGGAGCTGGGCTGCCATGAGTTGCCGGCGACGGCGTAGGCTGCAGCCCCTGTGGCAGTGGGTTGCCATGGGCTACCGTGTGTAGCCAGCAGCCAGCGTGAGCGGCCAGCAGCCGCAGTGAGCGGCCGTCCAGAAGCCGGCGACTGATCTGCCTCGCCCGGGAAGAGCGCAATGATGGTGCCAACTTGGGCCAGTGAAGCAACGTCCTCCACAACTAGACTGAAGCACAAAAGGACAGCAACTTGTCTGTTCCCCTTCCCCCAATTCCCCAGCACTTGTTCCCATCCCCCAATTCCCAATAAAAATCTTTAAAAATATATATATATCTTTTAAGAGGATGGTGCTTTCCTAGGCATCCCCCAGCCTGTTCCGCTCCGTGCGGAAAGGTGTCAGGTTCTCAGGCCTCAGAGGTGCTCCCAGCCCTCAGAAGGAAGCACAGGCACGGGGCTCTTGGAGGGAAAAGCATCTCTCCTTCCGCTTACAGATGCATGAGGACCTGGACCAGATGCTTCTGGGGAATTCTCCCTCGTTTCCCACAATGCAAGGGGTTCCCTTCTCTACCAGGGACCATGTTTCTGGGATGTATATTCCCTCCAAACACACTGGGTGCTTTTCAGGAAAGGAGGAAGTCCTCACTCACCTGGGGCCAGGGGTGCAGGCAGCCAGCAGCCATCCTCGCCTCTTGGGAAAATGTAGGTTCTGGGCAGACAGAGCTGCGAGAGGAGAAAGGTTCAGTGAAAACCAGACCCAGGCCTGTCCCCAAACCCCAGAACCTGTGCCAACCCTCTACACAGTTGAAAATCTGTGTATAACATTTGATTTCCCCCAAACTTAACTACTAATAGCCCACTGTTGACCAGAAGCCTTACCGATAATGCAGTCCATGAACACACACTTTGTGTTATATGATTATATACTGTATTCTTACAATAAACTAGAGAAAAGAAAATATTAAGAAAATCATGAGGAAGAGAAAACACTTTTACAGTACTGCATGCATTTACTTTTAAAATCCCGTGTGTAAGGGGACCCATGCAGTTCAACTCGTGTTGTTCAAGGGTTAACTGAAGTCATATTCTGAGGTTCCCAGGAGAATGTGAACTTGTGGGGTGAGATGGGGGGACCCATTCAACCCAGTTCGACCTCCCAGACTCACATTCTGGAAGGCTCCGTTCTACCCCCGCAGATGCCCCCATCGCTTTCAAGTCTCGGATTCCTCTACCTTTCGGGCCTTCCTCTCTCTCCTCTGCCAGACTGCCTGGGCCACAGCAGGAAGAATGCTGACTGGCCTCTCCCAGGTTACTTACAAGGAATGGGAGCATGTGGCCCTGAAAGCACGTGGGGAACTCTCAGCTCCTAACACACCTACAGGACCCCCTGATGCTGGGCCTCTGCACTGTGACAGGGAGCTCTCCAAGACCAGACTTTAGTCAGGCCTCTCTCAGCCCTGGTCTCAACTAGGCCTCAACCTTTGAGCTTCCAAGTTCGTCTTTGCATGGCCCAGTTTTAGCAAGAAGCTGGCTAAGTCATTTTAGGGAGAACCCCCCCGACACACTGGCCTCCATATCTGACCCCTGGGTATCTGATCAAATTCCTTATAACCCCCACTGTTCCCCAGGTGATGTCACTGGCTGCCACAGCAGGAATCCTGTTAGCTGGTGTAGCCAGAATCCCCCTGAGTCTCCTCTTAGAGATTTTCCATCCACTGACCCCACCTGCTCCTTGGCTGGTCCACCTTGTGCTCAGAGTTGGGCCCAGATCTATACTCATCTTTCTTTTCCCCATTGCAGGAGCTCCTGATTTAAATTTGTTTCTATCACTCTGACAACTGTCCAGCTCTGGTTCTCTCTGACAAAACCCGAGGCAGTCCTGCTTAGTCCTCATTCACCATGCAGGAGATGCCTTCGCTGTAAAGTCCCTTGTAAACGGTTAACCCTCCACTTTATAGTGGAGACTCCTGGCAGGCCCCGCCTTCACCAGGTGATCAGGGTTAATGTCACCAATGATGTGTGAGGGTGTCAGGTGCCCTCTGATGTGACACGAGGAGGATGCCTCACTAGAACCCAGAGCCTCAGGGTAACCATAAGAAAACATCAAACACAACTTGAAAGATATTCTACAAAATCCCTGGCCTCTGCTCTACAAGTGTCAAGGTCATGAAAGACAAGGAGAGACAGAGAAACCCTCATAGGTTGGAGAAGCCTGAGGAGATGTGACAACCAAATGTCTAGTGGGATCCTACATGGGGTCCTGGGCCAGAAAAAAGGACATGAGTGGGATGTCTGGTGAGATCTGAATCAAGTTTATAGTCTAGCTAATAGTACAGAATCCATGTTAGTGCCTTAGTTGTAGTTTTTCCATTATTGTGGTAGTAACACTCACGATGAGACCTATTCTCATAACAAGTTGTTAAGTGGACGATATATTACTGTTGGATGTAGATGCAATGTTGGCCATCAGATCGCTGAGGCTTATTCACTGACACTTTATGCCTGTTGATAGACAACTCCGCACCCCCCATCCCCTAGCTCCTGGCAACCACCATTCCGATTTATATCTTAGTTTTGATAAATGTCCCATGATAAGATATTAACATTTGCAAATGTTACTATCTTACAGATGGCCAACAGACATATGAAAAGATGATCAATATCACTAATCATCAGAGAAATGCAAATTAAAACCACAAATCACTCCACTCCTGTCAGAATGGCATCAGCAATAAATCAACAAACAACAAGTGTTGGTGAGAATGTGAAGAAAAGGGAACCCTGGTGCACTGCTGGTGGGATTGCAAATTGGTGCAGCCACTGTGGAAAACAATATGGAGGTTCCTCAGAAAATTAAAAACAGAACCACCATATGACCCAGCATCTGGGTAAATAATGCAGCATTATTTACAATAGCCATGATAGGGAAACAACCTAAGTGCCCACTAATAGACAATTCTATAAAGAAAATGTGGAAATGTGGTATATATACAATGAAATATTATTTGGCCATAAAAATTAATGAAATTAGTGCCATTTGCGACAACATGGATGGACCTAGAGTGTATTGTACTAAGTGAAATAAGTCAGACAGAGAGACAAATATCATATGATCTCACTTATATGTGGAATCTAAAGAACAAAATAAATGAACAAACAAAACAGAAACAGACCCACAGATGCAGAGAACAAGCTGATGGTTGCCCAAGGGGAGGGGGCGGGGGATGGAAATAAAAAATATAAATATTAACATTTGGGAATGCGTTCCCAAGAGGGTGCTACAAATGTGTTTTTGGAGGGTAGGAAAGAGGAAAATATAACTTGTTCTTTTTATGTATAAAGCACAGATATACATACAGTATATAAGTAGATACACAGTATTTCTGTTACGAGCTAAATTTTGCTCCCCTCCCCCCACAAAAAATTCACATGTTGAAGCCCTAAACCCCCAAGACCTCAGCATATGGCTGTGTTTGGACATGGAGGTCTTTAAAGAGATAATTAAGGTAAAACGGGGTCATTGAGGTGGTCCCTAATCCGATATGATTGGTGTCCTTATAAGAGAATAGGCACATACACACACAGAGGGACAACCACGTGAGGACACAGGGAGAAGAGGGCCGTTTACACACCAAGGAGAGAGGCCTCAGAGGAAACCAGCCCTTGATCTCTGACTTCTGGCCTCCAGAATATGAGTAAATGTCTGTTGTTTTAAGCCACCCAGTCTTTGGTGCTTTGTTCCGGCTGTCCCAGGAAACAACAGGCAAGTAGAGAGGCAGCTCCTTGTCCTCCCTTGTTGTCAAGGGGCTTCATGCAGGGGATTGTGTGAAGCTCCTGGGGCAGGGGGAGGGGGGAGGAATACAACCCTGAAACCATACTGCAAGAGGCTCCCTCTTTGCTCTTGGGACTAAATTGCAACTCGTTGCAATGGATCCAGGACCTCCAGCCCCTTCCTAGCATTTCCAGACCAACTCTCTCCCACCTGCCCTGGTGGTTGATGTCAGCAATCCCCTCAGCGCCCCTATTCACCCAAACCTGTGGCACCTGGCTCATGATCTTCCCTTTCAATGTTCAAACCACTGGAATTCATCCTTTCTCCACAAGAAAGGCCTGATGAGGACTTCCTCACACGGAAGGGGAGAGAATGGTGAACTCGATGTCAGCTTTATCTGGCAGAATGGTCAGCCGCTTCCTCACTCCTTAGTAGGCATGTCTGGGCGTAAATGGAGTGGTCCCTGCATATCACTAGACTCACGATGCTGAGGTGTAAGGCAGGGTCTCCTCCTGGACACTGTGGATGGACATTTGGAGCCCTCCTGGGCACTGAGCAGCATCCCCAGCCCCCACACGCTGGATGCCAGGAGCAACCCCAGCCGTGACCACCACAGGTGTCCTCAGACACAGCCCGGTATCTCCCAGAGGCAAGATCACCCTCACTTGCAAACCCTGGCCTTGCTCAGGGAGCCGAGTAAGTCTACTTTCTGAAGTCTGGGCGTCCCAGCCCCTTTGCCTTTAGGGCAAATGGGTTTCCTCCATTTCCCTTTAATGTTCCACCTCTGGGAGTTTCATTCACTTCATATCATGGTTTGCCCTCACGGGTCTGTCATCCTGGGGCTTTTCTCAGGCTAAAGGCCAGACTTTGCCATTCTGAGTGCTGGGCGGCCTTGGGCAAGCTGCCCGGCATGACTCTCCTCTGTCCCCTCCAGAGTGACAAATGGCGCAAGCACACAAGGCCTCCCCTCCGACCCCCGCCCCTTGTCCACCTAACGTCCCACGCGGAGCCAGGTTCGAGGTCCGAGTAGCCGCCGGCCACTACGGCTGCGTGGCTCACTCGCTGGTGTCCCGGCGTTGCGACCCCAGGTGTGGGCGTAGGTGGCACTTAGAGCGCAGCGATCGTGCGCCACCGGATCCTGCCACCGCTGGGAAGTCTGTGCAGCGGGTTCTGCGGCCTCGTCACCTCCCCGCACCTCAGCACCCGCGAGCGAATGCCCTCAGCCGACAGCTCGTTAACTCCCGCTGCCAGACGGACTCGGCAGTACGCCTGCGTACCACGAGGAGGCGAACTACAATTCCCGGGAGGCTCCGGCGCCGGGCTGGGTTTTCCGTCGGAGAGCAGTGAACTGAGTCACCGCGCCC